CATCTGGTGTAAATTTAAACTGTGGCTGTCCAAAGCGAGAAGTTATCAGGGACGGTTATGGATCCAGTTTATTGTCGAATCCTGAACTGATTGCTGATATTGTCGCCCATACCCGACGACGTGTATCTGAAACAAATTATTCTGTCAGATACAATTTTTTATGCTTGTTCTTTCTCTCGCTTCATTACCTTATTTCCTATGTCGTGGATGAGTCTTTGTGCTGCCCATCAAAGTTGAAAGGCTTTCTGACACTGATAATAAGTAATCGTAGGTTTCGATTAAACTAAGAATTTGTGAAGACCTGAGACAAACAATAGAACTGTGTCGACGTGTCGAGAAGATTGGTGCGTCTTTCATAGTAGTACATGGAAGAACTGTTTCTCAGAAGTGTGAAGCTCCCAATTACAAAGCCATCAAAGGAGTAAAATCCGCAGTAGGGATACCAGTGTTTGCCAATGGAGGTGTTAATTCATATCGACAAGTTTTGCAGGTGGCAGAATTCACAAATGCTGATGGTAATCTCTTCCTTAAGTTTCAGTTAATTGAATCCTTCAAATAACTAGGCATTGATACAAAAAGCCAAACAGGCACTGATTTCGTTGGCTTTCTCATAAATGGTCCATGCTTTTGGTGACATTTACTTCATGGTTATTTTGAGGGAACCGGTTAACTTTGATACCCCTAAACCGGTTGTTATTTTTTCATGTTTTATAAATAAATGTCACATTTTTGTAGGGATTATGTGCGGAAGCGGTCTTCTTGAAAATCCTGCAATGTTTGCAGGACATGAATTTACACCATTGCAGTGTGTTAAGGATTGGGTTAGCTTCAGACAGTTTAAAAAAATTGATTTTTTCACGTCCCATTGGCTCGTAAGAGCTTTCAAATGAGATATTGGATAATAAAGTAGTCAAGAAAAATAACACCGACAGCATAAGTACCCTATAAACTAACTGCAGTAGTATTGGTTGATTCTTGTATTCATATTTGCGAAATCCAAGAACTGTTTGAAATGTGAAGTAGTCTCAGCACCATTCAATGTATCTAGAGGTTTATTTTAGATAGAAACAATCTGTTTAAAAAATATGTTTCTGTTCTTGTCACATAATCTCCAAGAAGTCTTAAGTTGTGCGTGTGAAAAGACTTAAAATTGCTTGCACAGGGAAAGGTGTGATGCCTTCGACCATACACTCTGTAAGGGAATTTGAAAATTGGATGAAATCTGCTTTATCACGTCCCAGCTCAAGACTGTCAAGTTTTAGAAATTAGAAGTAATTCTAGTCTTAGACAGAGCGTATTCTGAGCTTGTTGAGTCCTCTTTCTGTATAACGATGTAAGCTTCTATTCTTCTTTTGCGAGTCAAACAATTGTAAACAAGTTGAAAATGTATTAATTTCAGGTTCAACTGACTGCTGAACATGGATTACAGTTCGATTTGTTTCATCAGCACCTGATATTTATGCTTCGCAGAATTCTCCCAGCAAATCAAAGAATTTTCTTCAATAACCTTTGTAGCAGAGCCGCAGTCACAGACTATTTAGTTGCAAATATTTTCTAGTGACTATTGCTATACTGCAAAAAGTGGGACCAAATTTGATGACGTCAGTAAACTGTTGTTTATCCTCTACTACTAATGCTAGGTATCCTCTCTCAGAATGATCCAATTTGAGAAACCAAATACTAAGTTTTTTGGTTTTACCAGAGAAACGCACTATCTTTTACAAGCATTCAAAGCAGATGGCTTTTTAGGGACGAGACATTATTGAACAGTTTAGGAACCTCACATCTGTGGTAGACTGATGAGGTGCTATTACAGTTATGCGTGCGCTCTCTCAAACCTTTTTTTTTTCATGTTTCGAGAACTCTGTTTTGCCTGATTTAACTGTATTAGTTTCAGGAAAGTTTATCCACTCCCAGCTAACTTTCTAGCGTCTAATTCTAAATTTCTTAATTCCATATGGCGTATCACAGTGATTTTTCCTGGCCGGCGACTGCGTTTCAAAAAAGTTAGAAAATGAGCTCATTTTTCATTTAAGCTATTTCTTCTTGTCCCACAGGTGCAGCAAATTTCTTAATTACTTCTGAAGACCCTGTCAAAGTGCGATATGTGTCTTTTGTAAGGACTCAAGCTTTCTAGGCGTAAAGTTTGACACGGAGATAATTTCGTAATGGTTTATAGCTAATCAAGAAATGCGATACAGGAAGATTCTACAATCATCAGGTTGTTCCAAGAATGAGCTACTCAGCTATGCTACTTCGCTTAAGCGCCATAGTTTTTTTCCTTGTGAGTTAAACGTCGTTTTGAACTCTTTTGCCTTTTGTACGAGCATGGTCAGTTTCGGAAAGGTTTCACATCCAAGGTGCTCATTCCAATTGTTAATAATGTTCTCTCTGGGACTGGCTTGTACCTGTTGAAATGGTCTTTTAGAGTTGTGATTGCAAAGAGAGATTCATTAAACTACGCATCATTGACAAGCTAGTGTCATGAATCCTTATGTGGACTAAAATAGGGGTAAAAGTATAACACTACATCGCTAGAAGGTTACTAGGAAGTACACAAACAAGCCTGGAACCACCGCATTAGGGGGTCGAAATGTACAACACGAAGGTCGACGATTAGGGAAAGCATGTTTGTCGGTAGACACGCTCAAGCTCTGTAATGCAGATTGCTCGTTCAAGAAAGCCAATATTACAATCAATTTCCGGTTAAAAGCCCATTTAGTGACCGCTGTAACAAGAACTGGTTTGTTAAGTGGTAGGATGAATATCTAAACTGCGTTTGAGGTTTAAACTGAGTTTAATTAAGAAATGCCCCATCTATTAAGTTTCATCAAATTTCTTGTGTATTCCACTGATTAATTAAAGCGTCTAAAGTTATTCAAACATGAGTAGTTGGTATTTTCTACTGCATAAGATTTTCACCTCTGGTTCCTTGGGAATGACTGGATAAACAAATTTTACTAGGAAACTTACAATTTCTAGGCATTTTCTTTGTTGAAACATCATCTGGATTAAAATCGGTGAAGACTCATCTACTCTTTTGAAAGAGAGACTGGATGGGACCCAAGCTATGAATCGGCTTTTTCCACCAGCGCACCAAGACTTTCTAGAGACAGCTAAAATTTGACATCTTGGAGAGGAATCCCATGGACGATCCTCAAAACTTTCTGCCCAAATGTACTGATCTGCAAAGCAGGTCACACTTTCCAACTAACCTGAAGTCGTCTCTGGTTCTTACAAGAAAAAAGTGCAATAGCAATCTGGATTTTTGGTTAGAATGATAAATTTTAAAATATCTGGGAGTTTAGAAGAGTTCGAAGTAATATGAGAATACTAATTTGGAATGCATCAAAACAGTTCACTGCATTTGCCAAAAATTTACGGTTATCAGGAGTTTAGAAGTTTAGGAACATCGTCTTTAGCAATCGGCAAGCACAGCTGAAGTTTAATCAGTGTTTTAGCGCACTGCGAAATAGAATTTTAGAGTTTCCTTTTGAACCAGCGAATCTTCTATAAAATAAATGTTGTACAGAAGTATATATATGTATAAAAAAGTGTGAAAAAAGTGTAAAACAATGAAATGTGTTGTTGCTCTTCTCCAGCACCGCA